AAAATGTTTTAGCAAAATGAATGGGTTTATGATTAAATTAAACGACTGAATTATTTTTTTAAGACAGGTTTTCAGATAAGAATGCGTAATTACACGCCACAAATAACTTCTAGAGAGAACATGGATTAGTTGTTTAAGCCATCTACTAGGATTAGCTGTTTAAGCCATTTATCATTTACGCGTATATTATGTATTATTTGTGATGATTTGGGAAAAAAAAGTCTTCTGCAATTTTTAATTCTTAAATGCAATGAATTTCATCTTTAATTTCATTATCGATTGTTAAATGATTACTTGATTCGATTTGCAACTACTGTTATTAATGCATTTTGCCAAATTTAATCAAATTTTAAAACTAAGATACAGGATATAGGACATATTTTCAGGATACAGGACACCTTTTCAGGATACAGGATATCTTTTCAAGATACAGGACATCTTTTCAGGATACAGGACATCTTTTCAAGATACAGGACATCTTTTCAGGATACAGGACATCTTTTCTTTTTATTTTCAGTTATTAACGAAAATGGCTCACTTATAAGAGTCATTAAATAAACTTCAACAATTTCCGTTTGTTTACGGTGATGAATTTAATATGTATTATCCGTTGATGGATGATTTGGGTCTACTGAAACGCCTTATTTCACGATTTATGGACAAATATGAGGTATAATCAAAATTCGTTGTTTTAAGAAAATCTTCTTGGTAGGTAATATTTTTTTCTAGTTATAATTTCAAAAAAATGGTGCTATACTAGAATGAAATTGAATTTGATGACTTTGAAATTAACTTTGCAATTTTGAGATAGAAATGATTTGTTCTATTTTAGTCAATATCTAATTCCCACATTTGTTTTTTGATTAATTCTATTTAGTTCCCTTTTTAAGTGCAATATTTCAGATGAATAGTAGTTCAATTCCAGTTCATTTCCAATTTTTTATATCATTTTGTTCGTTTCTCAATAATAATTATTGGAATTTTGTTAAGTTTTAAGAGAAGTTAGTTTGGCTATGTTTTTGTGTGTTTATTTTATAACAATTCTTATATTTTTTCTAAATGCTTCCATATATTACATTTATAATTCGGTTATTTAACTTTTTTTGTTTTATTAAATTTATCATTCATTGACAGAAGGGAAACAATTTCTGCTACTGAAAAGAAGATATAATTGTGAGACTTGCATTTCTTGCTTTTTGTGAACATTTTTTTAAAATATTTCTATTGTCTTAGTCTACCTCAGAACTTCTTTTTGACAGAAGTCAAGAAAATGACAATACCTGAGAAAAAGGTTTTGTTACTATGTATTGGGCAATTAATTTGATTCTCATAATGTTACACATTTTGCTTTTTGTTTCTTTGTATATAACTTGTTTTCGTTTTTTTTCACTTTTCTCTCTTTCCCTTTTAAGTTAAAAGTTAAAAAATTCAACAACATTTATAATAGGTTGTTATTGATCAGTTTGGTTTGTCAGAAACAAGAATGATAAACTTTCAACTATCGTTTTGGTTTTTCTCTTCGGTTATTTTATTTTTCAGGTCTTTTGCATTATCTGAATTCTCTGCAGATAACTAAATTATTGATGTCATGATTGCTTTTTAATTCTTTCAAACATTACTTTGTTTTTTTTTTCACTTTCTTCTCTTTTGCTTTTAAATTATTGTAATTCCATATTAATAAGAATGTCACCATCCATATTTAGTTAATATTATGAACCAATTTCTTCACTATTTTTAATCTTCCCGTTTTTTCTTATCTGTCTCTCACATCATATCATTTTATTATCTTATGCTTATGTGATAATTTTGCATATTTTAATTTTTAATACTGTTCAATTTAATTTAACTTCTTTCCTCTTTCCCTCATATTTATAGCATTCCCGTAATCTACTCTATTAAAAACTCTCTATGCTTTATTGATACCTCAATTTGTCTGTATTTCTTTTATGTGCCCTCAATTTGATTTCAATTTTGATCATCTTTTTCGACTCATTTTTTATTTTGCATGACATTTCTTACTTACTGTTTTGCATGATTTTTTCTTTTACTCGTATGCATTTTATTACTTACTTCCATAATTTTGACATGGTTTTTTTTAACTTAATGTTTTGCATGCTTTTTTTATTTCACTTATATTTATTTTACTCACTTTTGCATGCTTTTTTTGACTTACCCTTCATGTCTTTTCTTTTTTGAATTACGTTTTGCATGATTTTTCCTTTTATTTCTATATATTTTATTAATTAATTTTCCATGCTTTTTCCTTGTTTATCTGTATGTATTTTACCACTTAATTCAGCATGCTTTTAACTTACTTTTATTTCACAATAACTT